TCGGGGGGGGGGTGCACCAGTGCCGCCAGGGGGCCAGGGAGAGGAGAGATGGCTTGGTGGAAGCCATGCTGCGCCAATTTCAGTATTTTGTCCTTTTTTGACATTTTTTGCTGCTCAGTTTCCGGTTGTTTTGGAGAGCATTGTTTTTTTGCTATTGTGATTGGAAATGACTGCCCAGAACACTGTATTATGAGTATGGTGCTTTTTGCTTCTGCCTCAGTGCTCCCCGAGGCAGTTTTCCTGTTTTTGCCCGTCCCCAGCTGTGGAAAGGTTGACAACCACTGATCTAGAGGAAAGGCAGGGGGCGAAGCTCGGGGGCAGCCATCCCTGCCATGCCTCACTCCTGCCCTGGGATGTCATCAGCCCCTGAGTGCGGAGGTTTCTGAGAGCAGCAATGCCGTGCCGTGGGCTTGCCCATCGCCAAACCCACCCCTTTATACGACGATGACGACGCCGACGCTTACCTCCCAGAATTAAACCTCTGCTGAGCGCACCCTCCACAGCAGGGATTCATGCTCAGCCTGCACAGGATGGCAAGGAGCCAGAGGATGCAGTGCTGGACGCCCGCCCATGCGCTGGTGCAAGCGAGGGTGCTGATGCTCCTGCCTGTCCACCAAGCCATCGAGTAACCGAAGCACAGAGAGGGAGAAGCAGCCCGTCTTGCTTCCTGCCTACAGGGACTGGCATGGCTTGGCCCCAGGCGAGAGGGCCGGTGAACAGGCAGCAGTGCAGAAGCGGGCACTCAAAAACCTGGACTCAGCCATAGCTGAGCCACAGCACCTTCCAACAGAGCTGGAGATGCACACCCCACGTGGAGCACGGACAGCTACTGTCAAAACATGTGTGGTGCAACTTCATTCTATTTTTTTGGTCGTCAGCAGGTGGGCTGAGACTGCCAAATCCCAGAACAATTACTAGGATACAGTTCTCTGACTGGAATCCCCTGAACTCCGAAGCATTTGGTCATCCAACGCAGGGCAAGAGTAGCAGCAAAGATCATATTTGCTCCCTGCTCTGCAGTGTTTGCTGGCAAGGCTTTCCCGCCATCTAGCACGGGTGATTCAGGGAAAGAGGCTGGAAGAGGTGAAGTGGGACCCCATAAGAATTTACACTGTGTTTTTGCAAAAACTTGTCAGGTATAAATAAAGGAATAGCACTTATCACATGAACAATCCTAGATATTCCATTCCTTTTAAGTGCATTTACCTTACCCTACAGACTTAACTTTAAAGATGCCCATCTGTCAATGTCCGATAGGATCTCATTACTCTACCTCCTCAACATTAGCTTAATCATTTGAGCTCTGAACTGCCAGCTAGCTAGCATGCTATGGGTTACTGCATCTCCAACTGACATCAGTTCAGACTTTGATCAGTTAATAGAAGAGCCAGATCTGAAATCATTAATCCCTTGCATCACTATCTTGGACTGTGCCAGGGCTTTCATATAATTGACTGGAGAGGTTCTGGATGTCCTCAATCAGTAACTACACGGCTGCAATTGACAGTCACATCAACATCTCTGGCAAATGTATCGGATTCCATTCCTAATATTTCTAGTTTAAAATGGTTCTTCAGTAGAAGGTGCTAAGAGAGGCCTCATTAGTTATCCATTTCTAGTTTTATTCTATAATCTTAGTCCTTGGACAGAGCAAGCAAACCAATGTCTGCCTCTCTGTAGCTCCTGGCTCTCTGTCACTCAAGACCACAAACCCACCAGTTTTCACAGGAGGACCAAAATAGTTTTTATCTCCATCTTCATTAAGGGCAGAAGTAAGCAGTGTGATGGAATGGGCGACGGACCATTTAGGGATCATCTGTCAAGGCCTTGATTTGTAATTAGCCTTAGGATGGATTTAACACTTTTACAAAACCGGAAAGGGACTTGTTTCCCCTTGAAAGCTGCACATCTACTTTTGAATCAGCTTTTGTGAGCATCAGATGCATGTTCAAGAGAGTCCTAGCTATGTAAGTTTCCAACAAACTAAACTGTGAGACAAATCCAGCTACCTTGAATCCCAAAAACAGAAAACAGGCAGGAAATAAATAACTATATTGATATAGTATCTGGTGACTTGCCCATCATCCGGTGACCAGAAAGACTGCCACTCGGACTGCGGCACCCTAGCTCTGGATCTCTCTCTTTAGGAGTTTTCTTTCAGCTGAGTTTTTTGTCCTGGATTTTATTTTGCCAAGTCCTTTTGATTTGTTGGACTTTGTCTGGATAAAGCTGCTGTTGTGTGGTTGTCAGTTTTAAAAAATTTCTGTAAATTTTAATTTCTTGGATTGTTTAAAATCTATGTTAGAAATCACTTCTGAGTGTTTTTATATTGACGGATGAGGTATCACATACTCATAAACGGCATGGGGCTCAAGCATTCACTCAGTTGCAAAGCCAGGCTTGCAATCCCCACGCCCACACATTGGGAAACATTGAACAAGAGTGTCCTAAATATTTATGTCTTCAGTCCCTGCAAAGTTTGATACGCACACACAGAAAATAAACATGTGCTACTTGCAGAAGGAAATGCAAATTCATTATAAACAAGGCAAGCCAAAACAGTACACAAAATATAAGTAGGTCATCCTGCATCCTGGAAAAAGTTGCATTATGTTCCATTTGACTGGAGGAACAGAAGTTTCACATCAAAGCATCCCACCCTTCTCCAGCTCCCAGGGTGTCTGCTTTGTTCTGTTATTCTGGATAATGTCTGCGCAGTAACTATTTCTTTGCTGGTGGTTGCCCTGATCACTCATGCCAAATTAGGTCAGCTGTTGAAACTGCAGCAAGGCTTCCACCTAGTGGGCTGAGCTGACCCTTGTTCTGCACAACAAGACTGAGGGAGCACTTCTGCTGCCTGTCATCTCCCTGGGTCTCTCCTCCCAAGTCTCTCAACTTGCACACCCACTTTCTCTGACATGGCCTGGTCAATTGGGAGCCCAAAGCCAAAGAAAAGGGAGAGATCTGGCTGCCAGAAACTGGATTTTGGCTTCTCGTGGTCTTGGGTCGCACCTGCTATATTGGTCACTCGCTGCAGCATTCAGTGTGGAGAAACCAAACCCCACAGACAGCGCTGGCTATGCTTTTGGTGGAGTTACTGTTCTTCTGGGGCCAGGCTAAGATGCTCCTCTGCTGTCAGAGCTCTCTGCATAGCTTATAGCTTCATTGCGCTACACAAGCCCCTTGGCAAGGCAGTGATCCATGGCATTTCCTCTCACTTCCTGGCAAATAGATGGAGAAGAAATAGAGGTAGTGACAGATTTTATTTTTCTGGCTCCAAGATCACCGCAGATTATGACTGCAGCCAATAAATTAAAAGACGCTTGCTCCTGGGGAGGAAAGCTATGGCAAATCTAGACAGCATACTAAAAAGCAGAGACATCACCCTGCCAACAAAAGTGGATATAGTCAAGGCTATGGTTTTCCCAGCTGCAATGTATGGCTGTGAAAGCTGGACCATAAGGAAGGCTGAGCACCAAAGGATTGAGGCCTTTGAACTGTGTTGCTGGAGAAGATTCCTGCGAATCCCTTGGACTGCAAGGCGATCAAACCGGTCAGTCCTAGAGGAGATCAACCCTGACTGCTCTTTAGAAGGCCAGATACTGAAGATGAAACTCAAATACTTTGGCCACCTAATGAGAAGGAAGGGTTGATCTCCTCTAGGACTGACCGGTTTGATCGCCTTGCAGTCCAAGGGATTC